AGTACACTGTTAGTGCATACATAAAACGTCGTATAAATCTTCGATACGTGGACCATACATAATATACACATCCTTGATTGATTACCAACTTCACTCATACAGAAATAAAGCCCACTCCATTTTTTAAAAGGCCGTAGATATCGTTATTGGAAACTGTTTAGTCTATTTGTTTGATTTCGTTCAGTAACGGTGGCAAACAAGGGTAGGTCGAGCCGAACGAATAAACAAAGTGTACTCTAAGCAGGAAAATGGAATCCAGGAAACGTTCATGCTACCCAAGGTTCGTGAACCCAAGGTTCAAGCGGGATTCGTGAAGAGGTACGTGAAACGTCCACATGAGCAGTTCCAGTCGTATCGATGCGTTCTGTCGTCATTTGTTCCTACTTCGTATGTAACTCAGCCTGGCTATGGCAATTTAAAGGTTTGTCACAGTGTACTTTATGCTGTTTTCATTCTGTCCTTTGAAGTTCTGCTCAGTCACATGCCCTTACTATTCTCGCAGTACCATCTCCGAAACCGAGCAAGTCGGTTGTCAAGAGCAAGCATCTTACGATTTATCAGAGCAAGTTAGATGTTAATGATCCTAATTGGCGGATCGTGAGAAATTATTCGAAAAGCGAGAAAGAGCCGAGAGTCACACAGTGTCAGCCAAAAGCGCTGTTAAGGGGAAAAACAAAGAGTGTGCGTTAGGCTAGTGTATAGAAAGACGAAGGGTTCAGCATGTAGACTTAGATGCTGTTGGACAAAACTGTATTAAAATATGTATTCTACTGTAAAAAAAACACTGTAGTCTGTTATGATCAAAACCAGCGTTGCTGGCATTGCCGCTGAATTTCAATTGTAACTTTTCGAGCTCTAGTTAACTCTGAACACACGCGGGAAAACGCTCTGCACAGATAAAAGAACGTACTGCAAAGGACAATCCGCCATAGGGAAGCGTATGAGAACGCGCGCCGTAGCACAAAAGCAAAATTCACCCAACAACAGCAGAAAAAAGGTCGGACGAGTAATCTTCAATTGGGATTTCTAGCGCAGTGTGGCTTACTCCGTCTACAATGAAGCACTCGCTAAACGCTATTAGAAGCCGACAATGGTCACAAAGTGAGCAAAGTCACGCCGCCACCAGCGGCGGCAACCAGCGTGGGACTTGTTTGTTGTTGTGGCGTTGACTGTCGATAGGTCAGCTTGTCGCCCGTCAGCCACAACCGGAGGACGACAGAACGCAGGTACGCTACGCTATGCAACGTATTCTGATAATGGCGATGATGATGGCAGTGGTCATTCTGAAATTCGTTACGGTATCGACTCGATCGACCAGAAGCTGAATCGGCGGGCTAGCGGAACAGGAAAAGAGCGTCTGCATGATTAATACGCTAGAAATATTGAAAGAAGGAAAAAAGCTAACAGTCTGCTTTATATCGGCTAGGTATCTCACAGCCCTGCGTTTAGGCTTTCACGCCTCTACAAGGGTGTCGTAATATATTGGTCCCGTTGAAAAAAAAATTGGCGAACACTAAGACGCCCCAGTGGTCAAATAGCAACGGCAGAAGTGGAAAAATAAATCCCAACACTAAACTTTCATTATTATTTATTATTAAAAAACATTATTACATTCTATTGATACTCGTGCGACTATGGCAGGAAACCGCATGGTGTGTAGGCTGGCAAACAGTTGCACAGTTCAAAACAATACTCGTCCTTAAATAGGAATCGAATATTATAATTTGGCCGAGAAGCCTTTTTTCTCTCCGTTCCATTTAGATACCTGCACGAGAAATTCATTTCGAGCATCGACGGGTGAAATTATTGCACTTAGCAATATACCGTAGTGAAAATTCTCCATTTCTAATCTACGGGCATTACTTAATATCAGCCCAAATCTCACCCTATACACGTGGCTCAATAGCAGTACAACAGATCGTTGAAATTATTTCCATACGTTTTAGCTAACAAGAAGCAGTAAATGAAAAAATCAGACAAAATAATAACTGAAAATTGGTAAAATCTTGTTCTCTCATTTCTGCTTTATTTGTCACGGCAGTGAAAACAGATGACACACTTATCGCCAGCTGTTGTGATCCAGCGTTACAAACATTATATATAGTTCTAGTATATATATCACGTCCAGCTATTGTTGAGCTTCAATTGTTCTCACTTCTTTTGATTCGTCCGCCCCATCATCGCCTCCTCGTTTCTCCTCTCGTCTCGTACTCCTCGCCAATGTTGTCCTTGGTCGTTGTTTGCCGTATCCTGTTATCTGTGCCTGCGAACACGCACCGCTACGTTAATCACGTTTAAAATTATTAATTTTCCTACTCACGTCCCATTACAACTCGAGGCGACCATAACACAATAGCTTCTGTCTATAACTGCACCGGCTGATGTTGTTTTGCTGCTGCGGTAATGGTTCAGAGACGGAGCTACCGCTAGCCCCATCGCCTGCGGCCGGCTATAGTCATCCATGGTACGCTGCTAGTAGTGCTTTTGTCATCATCGCGCTTTCAAGGATTGGCGGATGGGTGGCATTTGTTTCCATCCCATCTAGTCCCGTTTCGTGTTATGGATACCGCTATCGGCAGCAGCGCGGTTGAAAGTTCAAGTAATGCCACAACAGCGCCGCAACAGTCGTTCCTCGAGCGTCGCGCGACGCATCCAGCATGGCCTGCTCCCGTCGCCTTCACCAGGAACCATCAAACACCAGTAGGCGGTGAGTATGGCCGTGCACCGGCAGCCATCGCCAGCAGCGGCCACAGCAGGACGTGAGTTTGGCAACAACAATGACAGCCATGACGGCAGCTGTCGGCATCGGTCGTGGTTATGGATGAGCGCTGCCAATTAGTAGTATTATCACTACGTCTAGGACGACGACTGGCACCGCTGGCAGGACGACCAGTGGTGGTGGACACACGGGGTGAGATCGGCGGGGCATCAGGGCGAACAAAACCCCCATTATTTCGGCACAGGGTTTAAGTAGTAGCAGCACTAGTTGGCGCGCACGTTGTGCACACGTGCGTACAGCAAGCATGAACCGAGAGCAAAAAGTAAAGATTATCCGCGGTTTAGTGTACAGCAAACAGCTACTCTCGCCTTTGCCGAGGTCGGGGGAACGGGGCGCTTGTCGACAGTAGAGACACGGTGCGCACCTCAGGTACTGTAGGCTGTGTTTCTATTGCGGTCGTAGCGTTGTAAGGTGCGGGCATTTAAGCTCATTCAATGAGCAGTGTTGTAGAGAGAGAGAGAGAGAGAGAGAAGGAACTGTGACGGCTATGCCGGTTGATTGCCGAACTGGGTGGTCGCGTAGACGACGATGATGATGGTCACCATTAAAAACAGTGAAGTATCAACATCGATTGGAGCAGAGCCTTGCTGAACGAATGTAAACCTCTTCTGAGTTTGTTTCGCATGCGAAAGCGTGGGGTAAATGGAGTTGAAGCCCTGATGAAACGCTAGCAAGGTCGGTAAAAAAAAAAAAGCCAAAAATACCTGCGAGGTTGATTGAAGGTTATTCTGTCACTGAAACATGGTAAATGTGAATCAGATCATTTCTGGTTACTTTCCCAAACATTACTTCTAACATAATAGTTTCATATAAAGGATATATATTTTGTACTTCATAATATCATGACAAATTATTCATTTGCTAGTTCAAATCGATCCCTATGCAAATGTTCTGATTGTTTCGTGCCTGATTACATTAGCCTCTTAGCTTTTTAATTTTAAAAATAATGCTCTTTTTGCAACCTAGTTTAATCAAATTCATTCCGGCATCTCATCGAACGGAATTAAACGCATGATTGGCCTATCGTCCCTCCCTCCCTCCCTCCGGACCGTAATTCTCAGGCCAATTAGTATGTTCGCATAGAGGTCACCACCCGTGTTGAGTACTAGATATATGTTACATGTCGTGTCGTAACATCAAATAGGTTAGTTGTGGTATTATCATCGCTAGCTAGATAGGTCCTGCGTACCTATATGTATGAACTATAGATAAAAGCCATTTTTAAAGTAAAATGAGCATGCCGTAGGCTGCATCACGCTAGAGTAAGCAGAACCAGTCTGTTCAACGGCCTGAATTTCCTCAAATGAGAAGGCGCATATTGAAAAGTGCCCGCTTTACATACTGTCACTACTCCGACCAGCTTCAGCGCCAATGGTGACGATAGCAACAACAACAACAGGCGTCACAAATCCAGCTTTAGAGCTCCGGTCGTTAGAAACATACCTGGCTAGTGAGCTAGAGTGTCGGTAGCAAAGGCCAAAGAAAACTCATCTAGAGAGCTCATACGCACACAGACACATAAAGAGAGAAATAGCGAAAGAGCCTTAATGTCTCAATTAAAATTTCGCGCTCGCTTGCCTTCAATTACGTCTTCTGCTTACGTCTACGGCGCAGTAAACGTGTAACTGAAGACAGCTACGCGGCAAATTGTTACGAGTATGTGGAGTGCGGTGGAAAGGTCACGACGAATACAACGGAATAATGAATGTCATCATCCGTGTGACGGTTAATGTCGCATTGAAAAGTTTTTAACAGTTTGTCGATAGGCTACGAGAGGAAAATGGAGTGAGGGGTACGAGGAGACAAATAACAATGGAACTTGGATAGAGAGAAGGCGTTAACAACAGCAGAAGTGCCGTTACTTTTAAAGTTCTGTTTATATACCTATGCGTTCGTGCCTGTCGGCGTAGTGACGGTGTATAGCAGCGATCAAGCATGAGTCAGTGATAGTGAGTGTCAGGTTTAGGTACAGGAGATAGATAGTATCCAGAAATCTTATAGAGTGGTCAATGTTCGGAACGAAGTGATGGCTGCTGTACAATGGAACGCATAGTGCCTTATTCCGACTTTGGAAATATGATTTCTCGAAGTATTTTAGACCTTCGGCTTCAGCCTCGAGATGTTTCGTTAGCGCTTTCTAGTAAAGTATTGTATTTAAAATGTCACCTTTTTCAGATAGGTGATATATTAAACGCGCTACAAGTCGTTAGACGCAGTTCCGTTCTAGCTACTAGGTTTTTCTCTGATTTGGCTGGGCAGCATTTCTAGCTCTTTTTTCATTTGGCAACATTACAAATCGTCCGACATCCCGAGCAATTTTCTATAGTACACATTAAAAATGGCCAATAGGAAACGCGAACCACACCGTTAGTTAGTTAGTTAGGAGTGTTAATACTTCGAAAAGTGACGGTACGGAACAAGTGTTTTCCTTCAGGGTCAAATGTAATAAGGTTCATATCGCAAGCACACAACTTTCGTGCATTGACTGTCGTACCGGTAATGATTCCATCCGGTGAGATATGCTATCTTAATTTCGAATCAGATTCTATAATGTTCGAGTCGTGCACCCTAGCAAGAGCACCTCAGAGTTCTATCTTTCTATCTTGACAGAATGGCACACGGTCTTCGGCACGCAAAAACAGGCACCCCGAGCAACCTGGTTATTTAGCTAAGGTTCGATGCGGTACATCCGTCGCCTAGCCATCTTCAAGAGTGAGACTCTAAACGCAGCATTGGTAGGTAATACGCGCTCGAACAGCAATACCGACAGCATTAGAGCCACCATCAACAGCATATTTTAGCCCTGGCAGGGTGCTGATGCTACTCACTTCAATTTGCTGATGAAAGTGCACGCATCCACGGTGTCAGTCCAGCTGTCAGAAAATTTGCCTAATGTAATTTTCACTCTGAGCCCCCTTCTCGGTCTCATTATCGAAATCGTTGCTTTTTTGCTGCATTATCTCGTTCAACGGCATCGTATCTTGTTACGAGATCTTTTTCAGAAGGTCCGAGATGGAAAAATCGGTGAAGATGGGGTGTACCGAGTCTCTAACGCGCGGTCTGGCACCACAGCCAGAAAGATTAACTGAGTGCTGTCTGTTTTATTGTCGTAGGGCTGTTGTATTATACTGCTAGATTCGATGCTAAGTGACAGGCGGTCGGCATCTTGCTCATCTCTTCTACTTCAGGCTTTCACTGAGGCTCAGTCTCTCAACCATTGATAATCATTCATTACACACCACATGTATAGTAGAGATGATGATCTTGGAAGATAAGGACGTCGTCAGCCTTACGTACAAATGGCATGCAATCAGCGCGGCCATCATCATCATTACGAAGATGGGTTTTTCGTTGGTGCATGTACAATTATTGCATATAACTATTAGTACGAATCTGCATCTATCGGCTTCTCTCGGTGCCATTTTTTCAACAATACAACAAAGCACAGAGCGTAAAACGACCTGACAAACCCACTAATTGCGAGGCTCGCTACTGAATCGCCCTGTTGTTAAACTAAGCGGACAGTGTCAATTAAGAAGGAAAGCCGAGCGTGCGATTCAACGGTCTCAGGTAGATGTTCAGTGGATTTTGATTCTGCTAAATAGAACAAACTGAACTTTATCCAGCATCTTATCTCTATTTATAGCCCATTAGACTAATTTAATTATATGAATGCGTAGCCATACCCTACTCCTTCGTGGCTTATAGGTTTAACTTGGGTCTCTATATTTAGCGAAAACGATACGAATGCAGAATGTAATAATTATTATCATTTTCCTTCCCCTGCATTGCCACCTGTCCATCTGCTCGTCCGTCACTATTTACTCGCACATTAGCCAAAGGGATTTTGTCGATTTCCGTTGTTGCTGTTGTGGCCGATGTTGGTGATGCTGACGCTGTTTTGTTGTTGAATTCAATGCAATAGTTATCGCAGCAGCTCAGACGAGCCACCGCACCAGCCGGGTCCCTCAACCAGAGTCGTCTGCCCCCCTCTCTCTCTCTCTCTCTCTCCCTACCTATCGATGTATCTCTCTCTACGCCTGTTTGTCTACCTTACAGCCCCGCAGTCGGGGATGTCCACATCCATCATCTCCATCCGTTCCGACAACTGAGAGGTGCCAATTGATCAAATTCTCATCATATGATGTGTTTCTTTCTTTCAAACGTTTCATTTCCTTCGTTTGCGTCCATCGTTCGCTAATGCTAGCATCAAGCCTCGAGCATCGAACAGCGCTGCCAGATGCCGGCGAACCAACTAGAGTCGCAGCTAGGACCGGCGAGTAACGAAGAGAGGTGCTCAGCCGTCGCAATAGCGATCACGGCGGTAAGAGGAACGGCGGGTAGGGACAGAGAGCCGCCCGTTGAGGATGCTGCTAATTGAAAATAGAGATATCAACAACGGATTGTAGCAATAACGACAACAGCAACGCCATACATATTCGTATCGAAAGGAGCAGGAGTGAGATCAAAAGCGGGACGAGTGCGTCAAAAATCATTATCGACTGGATTTGAGCTCGCTAGCTGGCGCCCACGTTGATTGACATTACAAGCCAATCGGTCTACGACAAGCGCCGAAAGGACCATAGGCGCCTGGACAAAATCTCTTTTCTTTTCTATCCAGAGAAGGGTTCTATGATGACTATTCATTTTCGCTAGCGACGACAAGCTACGACATAGATACGATATATGGAGAAAGAAAATGACGTTTACCTACCAGTATCATAGCAGTGAGTCGTAATAGCGTCGTTGGACGCTATTTTGATTTCAATTGTTAGAATGCTGGATAAAAGTTATTCGGTGAAAACGAGGCAGTGAGTGTTAGAAGAAAAAGCAGAAGTTCAAATGAGCATGGTAGCGCCTGGAAGTTGCAAGCAAATTGAGGAATTACCAGTATCGAAAATCAACGCATAATGGCGTATGTAGACCCGCGTTCAGTTGCTAGTTCCTTTACAGAGTGATCGGTACGACACTCTACTAAATGGGATCGGTATGAAGGAACAAGGCGATATACAACAATGCATCGATTGCGTAATTATCTTTATAGATGTAGAAATATTTCTGCTAAAAAAGTGAAATGTTTACATACATATGGGAAAGAGGCAAAAGAATTTTTGCATAGGCATAGCTTTCGCTCGGGGCAACCTCAGCGGGATGTGGACGTCTCCGTGGCCATGACGACATCATGCTAAAATCTCTGGAGATGGACAAAAGGCGCTCGTGTTGTGTGCTAATCAAGAACTTGCTCGAATAGTACTTCCAGGAAGGTATGTTCCGGTTCCAAAGATCGAATGGGTTCGTGATGGCCTTCTGGTGATACGGGAGTATAATTGTTGGGCTGGTTGTTGACGACAACACCTACGATGATTAAACACATCATGTTTGTTGAGTGCTCACACAACTATCATCCGCCTGTTTATCCGTGTATACCTACATATGTATGTATGTGTGTAAGTTATTTCATTGAGAAATTCGAAAATAGCAGGTTGCACCAGTTTCTATTTCCCTGCCAGTTTAAACATGTTCCGTGCCAACAAAACAAATTAGATGAGAAGCAAAAAATAAGGAAAGTGTGAACAATAAAGTTTCGAAAACGGTTGCGCTTGCCGAATCCACGCTCACAGAAGTACGCCTACGCGACAGCGTACTGACGCGTGCTTGCTCGTACTTGCGCCCGGCTAGAACGTTAGAAGTTGAAGCAATTTTTCATTTAGCTCGCGACTGCAATTCGCCGACAAACGTCTCTCTCACACACATTTTCGAACGAAATGAGCCTGGCGCGGACGTCTATTTGAGCTACGTCTAATCATCATAAAACGGACGCAATACACGCAGCAAACATAGTAAGTACCTAGCGGTATCTCGCTATAGTCTATATTACAAACTATATTCATTTCACGTCATCATTATTATCGATCGGTCGACGCTGACCGTTATACGGCTAGTAGCGATGTCAAGCCTGTCCAGCTGTTGTGTTTCTCTCTTCGTTACGGCCACTGCCAGAGAACGAGTGCCGGATCGACCAACCACGTGGTAATGTATCCATTCGGCTGTCGCTTCGTTGCCCATTGACGTTACCGCTGCTGCTCTTTTTAGATGTCATATGTCTGGCGTGGAGCGCAACGTACCTGGGCAACAACACGTGGCTTCTTGTTGCCTACGTTCACAATAATATCAATAACTGGCGCGGATATCAATGGCCGCTGTTTCAGGCCTACCGATTCTCCTCCGCGACCGCGACCGCCACCGCCACGCAATACTTCTAGACGTTGCTACTCGTACCAGTTTGCGTGCAGCGTCCGTGTACGTACGCAGACCTGTGCGCATAGCTGTGCTGCCGGCCATGTGCGTGAAGGTACGTGAGAGCTAGTACGACATCGAAGCAGCCACAGACCTCGTTGTTAATATTGTTGCGGTCGTACGTTGACGCATGCGCTTGCGTGAATGTGATGAAGATGAACAGAGCTTCATCCGCTTTATAACGATATATATATATATATATATATATCGTTATAAATCATCGAACGTCTAACGTCGACGCGTCCAAAGACCGGTGGTATAATTAAAGCTACATGACGACTACACAGTGCTCATCATCGCAAGAGCTTTCACGATGCTCTTGTTGCTGCTATGGCCGGTTGCGCTGATCACCGTGATCGGTTCCTCATGACTACAATAGTGTAGCTGGTTAGTGGTTACTGATTATTGCCTCAGCCGTCGCTGCCGATTACGTATGATGCCGGCCATGATAATTACAATGATGTTCATGATGCTGTTTTTATTTCTCTTACGTTGTTGCTGCTGCTGATGGAACAGTTACACAGGCGAGAGCGAATCGAAGGCCAAGAACAGGTCGAGGAACGGCAACGATGGAGATTCATTGCCGCTATTAACGCACGTGAACTGAATTGAGACTGGCTTAACTCCGTTAGAGCGAAAGGACGATCCGTCAATTGCCGAAGGTTCGACGACTTGGACAGCAGCAGCAGCAGCAGCAGCAGCAGCCATGACGATACAACCTATTTTTGACATAACTGGGAGAGGTAAAAGCGGAAGAAACCAGAAAAGAAGCCGAGTAATATCTGAGATCGTCTAAGGAAAAGGTAGAAAGATTTTGCAGCCTGACGTGGGGGTGAAGTGTAGCCTGCTAAGTAAAACGCTTGAAAAAACGGTGAGGCACCCATGTGCTCATCGGCTGTAGACAAACGGACGCATGGGACGTCTGTGTTGATGCGGGCACACAGTCGCAACGTCATAGCCAGTGTAGCTGCGTTCCGAACGTCAGGTACGGCCACGAAATAATTGTGTGCATCTTAATGGTATATTAAACTGAAAAAAAGGAAAAACGTAGCTGGAGCAAAGCAATTCGTAAACGTCTGCTAGTTTTTACGGCACAGGCTGAGGCATAGATCAAGAGTGGCCACGCTGGTACATGCTGGCTCCTAGGCTAACAGTCGTACTGCTTGCGACTATGTACAAAAAGAAGAGGTGTCAACCGAAGATACTTTTCCTTGCCGAAATAATATGATCAGGTTGGGTAATGTTGATACGCTCATTTACTGTGCAGCAGATTCTCCTCTTTCCTTTTATTCCTGGCTCGCGTTGTATTTTTCAGGTTGTCATTTTTACATAATATTTATTAATATATACAGTATAACATGTATAGTATACACCTGATCCATAATGCAATTTTACGAAATTACGCAGCAGACAGATATGTCTGGGTACTTGTACTGCTGGCCAACGTTTCGCCTTCCCTTCGGAAAACAAATGAAAGCCACGCTGTAGTTTGCCGTTTTAACGTCGCTCACGTATTTATGTTCATATTACGTTTTATCTTATGTATTTGGCTTTTTTGTTCATCTTCTTCGTCGTCGTCGTCGTCGTTGCTAACAATAGATTTCGTAATCGAAGCTTTTATATGCTCGCCTCTATCCATTACGAGCCAGCGGCAGCAAAAATCAGAATCTTGAGATCATTACGCGGACGAATACGATATCTTCCTTGCTCTCTTCGTTTTCTTTCCCTCTCAGAGAGACATTACTATGCTTATTAGAATTTTGAAATGATTACGACTTCAACGGCATCGGCGGCAACGACGAGCGAGCGACGCCAATGACTTTTCGTTCACGGCGCGACCAGCGCCAGCCGTTGAGGTTTCGTTTCAGAAACTTTGATGACTAAGTACGAATTTCTGTTGTTCGATGAATTTTGTTTACGACGATGCGATACAGCGACCGTGCTACTAGCTTCCTGCCGTTGTCAGTTCGGTCATTGCAGATTTCTGTAGCTGTGCTAGTGATGATGGTGCAGCTGAAACTGTTGCTATCGCCGCTGCTTTTGGCGGCGTAGTGAAAACCACGACGTCGCATAGTTTATGTTGCGGCGGCGGCCGTCCTGCTGCCGATGACAGGATCATTGAGCGAGCTGTTCCAGGATTCACTTGCTCGCCGCTGGCTTTTCCACCGCTCGAACACCTAAGCAACTACTGTAGCCATAGTGGTACTACTCGTAACGATAGCAACACCGATACGATATAGTGGCAGTGGAAATTGTGACGTTTCCGTATTTTTCAACTTTTTTTTTTTTTTCGGTTAATTCTCGCCAAACGCGCTCACCGTCAGTACCACGGACAATTGGCAGTGGCACATGGCTCGTAATAGCAGTATTACTGCCACTCGCAGCAGTTTCCTCTCGGCACAGTCGGTACCAGTGAGTCAGTCAGTAAACAACAAAATTATCACCGACAATAGCGAGCGTCGCCAGTAAAGCCAACATCGACAACAAAATCGGCATCGGTGAGTGACGCTAAAAACTTTTCGGTGCCACCAGCCACTCACTGCTGTCTTGTTTAAATTAGCCCTTTCTTAACAACTGGAATGACGTTCTTGCGGTTATTGCAGCAAAAATGGCCACAGCTGGTAGCGAGGCTGCTGTTGCTTCCGCCGCCACTTCGGGTACCGCGCTGAATTGCTTGCGCCATTGTTGTCGTCGTTGGTAGGTTCGTCCTCACGAACGAAAGACTTTACCGCCTCTGCAGCAGCAGTAGCATCGCCACCTGTTATTGCCGTCATTAGAAAACGTTTGGAAAATGTCGAGTTAACAATACGTACGTATCGTAAACAAAGGCTGTCCCTCCGCGCGTCGACCTGTCTGCTGGCTTTCCTTTGCTTGTTCTTGATCATCCATGACATCATATTAGCAAAGGGGTCATCAAGTTTCGCCGTTGCTGAGTTCCCTCCCTTTAGCATTGATTTATTGTAGGTGGAGCATTACATCAATATCGGCGCCAGCGGCGACTGCCGTAATGGCAGTAGCAAATGAGTTGTTAGATTAAGCGAGTGAATTCTTAGCCGCAGCAGTCGATTCAACCGTCGGCAGCAGCTGGCCAGATCGATCGCTTGCGTGGTCGATCCATCTGTCTTGCTGCCATGCCGTAGATAGTGATGGTCGCCGACGGTGTTGTTCAACTTAGACATTGATCTAAGTAAATTGCGGCTAGTATATGTACGTAAAATGACTCGTTAAATGTGCATTAACGAGGTGATTGAATAATATATAATGGCGGAGGTTTCTCTTCGCTGAATCGAGATGGATGGATGAATGGACGGACGGATGGATGGATGGATGGATGGATGTCGACGGTGAATAGTCTTTTGAATACGGTCGGCGTATTGGGGTGGCAGCGGTCGTAGCGCACGATATTCGTTTTTCTTGTACGCAGGTACAGCAGCATCAGCATGAGGCAAAAACGCGCTAGGAACTAAGAGCGGCTGATTACAAGGGAGTTGTTAGCAGCAACGCTTAAGTTGAATACGTCGTCGTCGTCGTCGTCGTCGTCGTCGTCGCCGCCGCCGCCGCCGTCTCCGTAATGATAGCAGCAGCAGCAACGACGAGGCAATCAATTCGCTAGTTGGTCGGTGCTTGCCTCCACCTCGCCGTTATGGATGGGACCTGGCAGAGTAGGGCTTCTTACACTATTAGTATTTCTACTATGATGATTATATGCAGCCAGCCGAAAATAGTCGTCGGAGCGGATAGGCGTTAGAACTGGGAAAAGCATTAATGGAACCCTATGTGTCTATAATGTAATGCCTATGCATAAGGCGTGACCTTGTGCTTGTGCGTATCGAAGCGTGCGTGTAAATTCGAATGCTTTTTCTATGGTCAAGACAATAAGGGTCACTTAACATAATCGGGTTTATTAGCTTTTTTGCTTCTTTGCCGCTTCTAAATTCAGAACGCTTGTTTTTCATCTATAGTATTACTCGCCTCTTTAGCGTCATCAAGTGAGAGCTGAGCCGACTATAATATCAAAATAAATATAGTATCAGCATTAATAGCAGAAGAGCTCAACT